GCTCTCGAGCATTCTTCGCGATCGGATCTTCAGCGACTTGACCTGAGTACGTTGCTCACCCTCCTCCTCCTCCCTCCTCCTCCTCCTCATTCCACCTGAGACTCGCAGATCCTGACCTTTTCCTCTTCCTGCTCGTGGTCAGCTGGAGCTTTGCAGCAATAGAGCAGCGACCTGTTCAATGAGATCAAGGCTGATGCGGATGATCTCGTAAGCAGCCTGAGCCTGTTGAAATCATCACAACGGTTTCCCGTCATCGCCGCTTACAAGTCTCTTCTGTCTATATGCTTCTGCTTGAAACGTCTCCGCGTCGCTCTTGGCAGCCTGCCAGGCGTGTCATCGCTCCTCTCCTCCTCTCCTCTCCTCTCACTGTCTGCCCCTGCTTGAACTGTCTGCTGACGCTCAGCCCAACAGCTGCCCAGCAGGTCAGGAAGTGTCAAACTTGGCCGACGCTGTCAAAGCAGGGAACGCAACCTGCAAGTCTGGCCCCATCGGCTTTGGACTGCATGATGGACGCGCTGTTCTCCGCCTTTGACTTCTGCGACCTCGCAGTTTCCAGCTCATCCTTGAGCACTTTGATCATCTGCCAGCTCCCCAAGTCAGTGACAGCGGCTGCATCATTCGATTCAGGAGACCTTGGCGGCATCATGGGCGAGATGCTGGAACATCGAGGCCTGTTTCTCAATCCCCATCCTCTCGTTGTGAAGGTCTCTCTTCTTCATCCGCACCTGGTCCACCACACGTCCGTAGTAGAGCTGCTTCAGCTGCGTCAGAGCAATCTTCCTCGACATCGCCTTCTGCCGCTCCAGCCGCTCAGCCTGGAGCTGCCTCGACCGTTCTGCCTTTGCCGCCTCCGCTTTATCGGCCGAGGCTTTTTTTGCCTGCGCTTCCCTCATCTCCGCCTCTTTCTGCGTCCTCGCCATCTCGGGGTCATCGGGGTTGGGAGAGAGTCCCCAGGAGGGACGGGGCCTGCTCCGCCTGTTCACCGCCACCTCCTCCACCACAGCTTCGCTCTCTGGCGTCATGAACCAAGTCATGACCTCCTTGACGGCTTGATCGACGAACTTGACTGACGATAGCAGAAGGTCAGAGGGGACAGGGAGGGAAACATGAAAGTCTTTGACAGTGAAACATCAATTTCTTTGACAGTGAAACATCAATTTCTTTGACGCTGCTTACCAAGCTCGTTCTCGTCCTGTCAAAGACAAACAAATTAGCCACCAACCAGCGCTGCCCTTGGAAGTCCTCTCACCTTCGGCTGTCGGTCCGTAAACTCGTCGGCCATGGTAGATCCGGTCGGTCACAACTGAGGTAGCAGCACTGCAGCTACCTATGAACCAAGATTGTCAGATCGTTCAAGACTTCAACAGACGCTCTTTAGACAACAACTCTGCTAAAAGATCACTCTCCCTTTCTAACCATGGAGAAAGTGATATGCGAAAGGATAGGGGAACGCTTGAATCCTTCTAGGTACTAACACAATTGCCTCTTCTCTCATCTTGGACGGTGTAGCTGAATTGCCAGAGCTAATCAAAAGCTTGCCAAACTGCGCTCTCCTTCGCTCTCCTTCTTTCTCCTTCGCTCTCCTTCGCTCTCCTTCGCTCTCCTTCGCTCTCCTTCGCTCTCCTTCTTTCTCCTTCGCTCTCCTTCGCTCTCCTTCGCTCTCCTTCGCTCTCCTTCTTTCTCCTTCGCTCTCCTTCGCTCTCCTTCGCTCTCCTTCGCTCTCCTTCGCTCTCCTTCGCTCTCCTTCGCTCTCCTTCGCTCTCCTTCGCTCTCCTTCGCTCTCCTTCGCTCTCCTTGTCTCCATTCGTCTCTTCCCTTCTTTTCATTTTTTTGACTTTTTTTCTTGAAGCTCTGAGGCGAACCATGCAGCCTACCGAGACACCCCACCCCCAAATCATAAATTTTACAGGGGTATAATAACCTTGTATGACCCTACCCTGAATTTCCGACAGATTTATCGAATAAATCACCCCTATCTTGACTACCCCACCTTCAGTATCTCCACAGTCCCCACCTGCAATACTGTGACTTACCTAGTACCCATGATCTTCAATACATCTTCCAGTAGGAATGTAGGGTGGAGGTAGGTACCCTACCCATCTTGAATCACATTCACCCCACCCCTCCCTTGGACCTCCGGCATAATTCGGTCAACGGCTGCCAGGGATGGCAGTTGAAGACCACCCTACCCCCCTATCAGCAAAGAGCTCTTTCACCACCCCATACCCCCTTTCTTTAACCTTACCCAGGGTCCTTCTACTACCACCCCTACTATATATCATGAAAGTCAAGGTGTTATACCCCCTACATCCCCAAAGTCACTACACCCCCACCTGTTCGACCTACCACCCCCTTTAGGCCTCCACTACGTAGCTCATAGGACCCCTACCCTCCCACTCCATTACACCCCTCGATCCAGCCACCCACGTTGATTTCACACACCCCAAATATCCTTATACTACCCCTACCTTTACCCATAAAATACCCCTATGCACACATGAAATTGTCACCCACTACCCACTCTTACTCACCCCCTACCCCCTATTTTTCATGCCGACCTCCTCCGATCCCCTAACGTGTGGGTGAAGATGCAGGAGTAGCAGAGATCATGACGGGAGAGGAGGGAGGAGGGAGGAGGGAGGAGGGAGAAGAGCGAGGAGCACGAGCAGAGAGTGATAAGACGAGGAAGAGATAGGGGCATGGCTGCATGCGGATAAGAGAGAGAAGGAGGACGAGGGGATCAAATCGACTGGGATCGGCCAAAAGAGATCCGACGAATCGGCAAGGGGCTATAAGACGAATGATGATAGGGTGATAGACGCATGAGGGGAACGATGTGAATGCAGGAAGATAAAGGAGAGGAAGTGGAGGTGAATGTAAGAGAAACAGAGAGACAGAGAGACAGATAGACAGATAGATAGATAAACTTGGATCAGAAGCAAGCAGAAGGTCTTTAGGAGGAGGCACTGGAGTGTAGGCGCTGGAAACGAAGTAAAGGAGTGAAGAGGATAGGGGTCGTGCATCAAGATTATGTTGCAAGGACGAGATCTTGAAGCAATGAGGACGAGGTGGTATGAAAACTTAGTTGAAATGGCGATGGAGAGGACGAGGGAAGGAGAAAGAGCTGGAGACAAGTTTGTTGGATGTTGTTGCCATCTGACTTCTCCATCTTGGGTTGGACTGAGAGATTTTCTGCTGCAGATCCATGCCTTGCTCCCTGTAAAAAGTCCTAACTGTAAATTATCTGTCGAAACACTTGTCTCATCTCGCTGCTACTCCACCTCGCCAACTTCCTCAAGGATGGAGAAGATTTTTGCTGAGGTGCAGAAGAGGCCTTTCAGCATGAAGAAGCTTCCCAAGGAGAGCATCAAGAACGTGTGGAACAGCCTCAGTCAAGTCCTCTGCAACACTCTGCGGTCAGGAAAGGTTGGAACAAATGATTGCTGCTGCTGCTGCTCGTTACTCGTTCTCCTCCTCACTCAAATTGATCTCAGGGGTTGGCGCTGGCGAATTTTGGGGTTTGGAGTTTTCATGTTGATCCGTTAGATCTTGGAACCCAGAAGAAGGTGCGTTTTCCTCCTGCTGCTCCTCGTCCTGCTGCTCGTCCCCCGTCCTCCCTTCTCTTTCCGATTTGGTCCGGAGTGTCCTGCCCCTGGCTCCTTTCTAACCTATTGTCTTCTCTCCAATCTCCATCTCCTCACCGTGCTCGCTCTCTCAAATCTCAACCATTCCTGCTGCTCGTTTCATCGCCTGCTGCTCCTCACCTCCCTCTCAGACTCTTCGCACTCCTGTCTTCACCCTCTCCGAGAAGTTCGCGCGGCAGTACAACTTGAGATTCTCCCGGAGACCCTCGAGCATCAGCGGCTCCATCCCCGTCCGCGATCTGAACCTCGTCGCTATTGCTAACATGGCGGGAGAGTCCCGAGACACTGTCAGGTACTCCTCCTCCTCCTCCTCCTCCTCCTCCTCCTCCTCCTCTTGTACTCCCTTCTCGTTCTCCGCTTCTCTATCTTCTCCGTCCCTTCCTCCCCCGTCGTTCTCACCCTTGACAAGTTGCGGCAGTGACGTGCTCAAGGATATTGTCATGTACGCGGGGGAAGCTGCCATGTCCGGGGGGTCCATCCGGCTGGAGTTCTACGGGGTGGGGTCGTGGACGTGCCAGGGAGGAAGCAGCAGATTCGTTTTCTCCCCGCAGTTCGACGGGATCTTCGAGAGTCATGACCGTCCTCGCACGACCCACGGAGTTCTCCCTCCCTCCCCCTCCGTCTTCGCTCGCTCTCGTCCTCGCTCCTCCCGCTGGATTCCCCCGACGCCTCCCCGATCTCGTCCGCACAGCTCCGGCGCACTGCAAGAGCAGCAGGCGATCCTCAGCCCCTCCTCAGACCGTCGCAAGGCCACACCAAGCAGGGAGGAGCTGCAGGAGCAGGCGAACTTCCCCTCGCGCCCGTTTTCCAACCAGAGCGCGAGGAGCGCGAGGAGCGTCGAGCGAGACCTGGTGGCAACTCCGAGCAGCGGCAAGAGACTGAGAATCTCGCAGCGGGGGGAGGAGGGGGAGGGCGTGCGGGTGGTGCGGGTAGAGGAGCAGGGGCTGAAGGCGGAAGAGCTGGAGATAGTGATCCGGAACGGGGAGCTGCTAGTGCTGCAGGAGAGCATCGGGTTGCATCGAAACTTCCCACTGAGCAGCAGGGCTGATGTGGAGAAGATCGAGGCAGCGATCAGGCAGAGGACGCTGGAAGTTCGGATCCCCGACAAGACGCAGGGCCTCCGGTCGTTCTACGACAGTCAGATTAGAGAGAGGGACGGGATCAAGAAGCTGGAGGAGGAGGTGGACACCCTCCTGCTGGAGCAGACGAAGAAGAGGAACGAGGCAGCGCTGGAGAGCGAGAAGGAGATGCAGGACGCCAGGAGGAGGGCGAGGAAGGAGATTGAAGACTTCAACCGCAAGCTCATCACTCAGAAGCAGCAGAGGAGGAACGTCTTCGAGCCCGAGTCCTGCGGCTTCCTCCTCTACAACCGCACCGAGGCCAAGAGCAAGTCCCTCCCTCCCCAAGTCCTCCGTTCGCTCCTCGACGCTCAGGTGAGGGACAAGAAGCAGCTGGTGGAGCAGACGAAGGAGGCGGAGAGGGAGCAGGTGATGCGCGAGACGGAAGAGCTGAGGATCTCGCTGGAGGAGGAGGAGAGGAAGGCGAGGGAGGAGAAGCGGAACGCGCAGCTGGCAAGGAGGGAGGAGCTCAGGCAGCAGGTCGAGACGCTGCAGCCCCGCCTGCCAGGAGCCTTCTCGGCGCTGTGCAACTTCCCGAGGAGGGACGAGGAGGCTCAGCTGCGGGAGCTCAAGAAGAAGGAGGTGAAGAAAGTCTACGACGAGGTCCTGGAGATGGTCAACACCCGCGAGATGCAGAGCATGCAGCTCAAGAAGACGCAGAACTTGCAGGAGATGGAGGAGATGGAGGAGATCAAGCAGTCCATCGAGGAGGAGCAGGAGGAGAAGCGCAAGTTCGATATCACGCAGAAGCTCACCAACAGAGAGACATGGCGGAAACAGATTAACGACAAGCGCGAGAAGGTTTGTTTCTGCTTCATGCTGTCCTCTACTCGTCTTTTATTGCCCTTCGTCCTCCTCTTGTTTTTCCTCGAGCTCACAGCCCTGCAGGTCCGGTCGCAGCTCGTTCAGGGTCAATACGCCACGAGTTTGCCGGTGGGCGAGGCTGAGCTGGGGCTGACGCGATCGATCCGACCGGAGGTGGTGGCGGCATGAGGAGGGTGCACCCCTACTGGGAGGTCGAACCACCCCCCTTCTCCTCCACCAGCAAGATTGATTGAGTCTCTCTCTTGCTCCAGCTGTCCATGAGCTGGAGATGCTCCAGTTGACTGCCAGCTGCTTGTCATTCTGTTGCTTGTTAGTAGACACAAGTTACCTGAGATGTCCTGGAGAGGCCTCTCCCTCCTCCTCCTCCTCCTCCTCCTCCTCCTCCTCCTCCCTGCTCCTCGCTCCTCTCCCGGCCCCTTTCTCCTCTGTCCGCTGCTTCCCTTCACCACCCCCTTCATCTGCCCCCCGCACCCCCTCTCCGTCCTGCTCCACGAGCTGCCCTCCTCTTTCCTTCCACGCTGGTTCTTCTCTTGTCCTTCCACCTCCTGTTGCTCTTATCTCCTCCAGTCCTCCCCTGAACGCCCACGTCCGTTGCTCCAGGCTCCTTTAATGCAGCGTCAGTATCTCCTGAAAAGAGGAGGAGGAGGAGGAGGAGGAGGAGGAGGAGGAGGAGGAGGAAAAGGAGGAGGAGGACTATGTGTATGTGGCACATGGGGGACTAGAAGTACCTGGCTAGCTGTGCACTGAGTTCCTTCATCTTACTCTCCATCAGCCTCCTCCGGTACTCAACCTCTCGCTCCTCCTGCTCTTCTCGTCTCCGCTGCTCAGCATCGCTGCGCCGATCATGCCGACTGCGTATCAAAGATCCGTCAGCTTACTTCACCAGAGATGGTCCTGCCCTCCACTTGCTCCTTCTCGCTGTATCCTCCCCCTCCTCTCCTCCTCTTGCATCACCGAGCTTCCATGAGGCACTCGCAGATCTCGAGTAGCTTGCAGATGTAAATGCGCAGGTCATTCTCACTCGCCGACATGTAGTTGATCCTGCAATGGTGGAGAAACTCTGCGACACGTTCGATCACTTTAGGGTCTTCTCCTCTCCTTCCCCCATCCTCCTCCTTCTCTCCCACCTCCTTTCCCCTCCCTCCCTCGCTCATTCCCGCCTTCTCCTAACGTGCTGTACTCACCTGAAAACTCTTCGTGGGGATCGAACGCTGCTGCCCGCACCTTGTCCGTTGGCGACTTCAAACCCCTCGCAGTCCTCCCTTCCACTGTCTCCTCCCTCCTCCCTCTTCCTGTCTTTCCTCCCACTCTTTCCACCACCTCCCTCGCCTCCTCTCTCCTCCGAGCTGTGGCAGGCCTTGTCTTTTGCTGTACAGCAGGACTGCAAGTGACGTGAGCAGCAGCGGTGGAGCAGTGAAGGTCGTCACCGCGAGGAGGAGGAGGGAGAGGGAGCAGAGGGTCGGCTGTCTCGCAGTGATTCCATCCATGTCGTGTTCTGAGCGAGGATGACCCTCTCCTTGCCGAGCGGCGACCTGCCGTCGAGAGCGAGAAGGGAGCTCACGGTCTGCCTCGCTCTCACCGGCTCCTCCCTGCTGTACGCCATGCTATGGTTACGAAGACAAACAAGGGGGGGGGGGGAAGTGCAGGAGGAAAAGGGCAGGACAATGTCGACAAGGAGGACAAAGAGGATGAGTAAGAGGAGGAGTAAGAGGAGGAGGAGGAGGAGGAGGAGGTGGAGGAGGAGGAGGAGGAGGAGGAGGGAGTCAAGACCTTCTGCGTGATGGAGCGGACGACAGTCTGGAATGACGAACGACCTTGCTATCAGCGCTTTTCATGCTCATGTTGAGATCTCCTTTATCACTTATGAATCCTCATGACGTGTTTGCCTGCGATCTTAAACCAACTTCAGAGGAAGTTCAACTACGTTGCTGTCATGTTGAAGCCTTCTGATCTGATCTTCTCTGATCTCCTCTTCGCATGTCCTCGCATCTAATCTCTCGTCCTCTTCCCACCTCTGCTCTGCCCCTCTCTGCCCTTCTCTGCTCTGCTCCTCTGCTCTGCTCTGCTCTGCTCTGCTCTGCTCTGCTGAGTCCGGCTCTGCTCTTCTCGTCTCGTCTCCTCTCCTCTCCTCTCTCCTCCGAGTCCTCTCCTCTCTTCTCCTCTCCTCTCCTCTCCTCTCTTCTCTCTCCCCTCCCTCCTCGCCATGGTTTAGGATCAGTTCGGATGCTACAGGTGAGGCTGTGGGTTGCCACCGAAAGTTCCGCAATGTCGGTCCCGGCCCCCTCGGAGGGGTGGGGTACTTCTGGTCAAAGTAACGGGTACTTTAGATTTCGACTTGTGACTTCCGGTGTTGGAAATTCAAAATCTTGCCCGGAAATGGTCATGAGCGGGGATGAGGCTTGTCGGGCATTGGCCCCTCCTCCTCTTTCCCCCTTTCCCTCTTTCCCTCTCCTCTCCTCCTCTCTCCTCCTCCCTCCCCTCCCCTCCCTTCACCTTCCATCCTGGTCATCTCTCCCTTCTGCTCCTCTGATTCAAGCTTGTGCTGATCTTACCATCCCAGCTTTCTAGTTTCTTCATTTCCACACCCCGAATCGCCTTTCATCAGATTTCGTCTTGAGCTTGATCGACACAAGAATGATTTATGATGAAAGCCTGCAAGCTTCCAATCTCAGGAGGTGCAGCATGTCAGTCTCGTGTATCTTGCCACTCCTCCTCCTCCTCCTCCTCCCTCGCACGTCGGCTCTGCAGCAGCATACCTCTGTCCAAGAAGCACCTAGTGGCAGTCTCGTGCAGCAGCCACTGACAGCAGACTTCGTTGTTCGCAGTGCCATCGCTGGAGGCTTTGCCGGCATGGTGCGGAGAGTTTTCTCACCTTCTTGCCTCACGAGTCGCTTGGCAGACGCTAGAGCTAGCCTTATATCCTCTTGACACCATCAAGACCAGGATACAGACAAGGCAGGCCTCGAGCAGGAAAGAACTTTTCAAGGACCTCTTCAAAGGTTCTGCTCCCTGCTCATCGCCCCGTCTGCTCACCAGTCGGGCAGGGAGTCTGGGGGCTTGTGCGGGCATCATTCCGTCCTCGATCTTGTTCTTCATGGCCTATGTATGCTACCCCCCGGATTGAAACGATATTGCCTGAGATCGGAAACTTGACAAATCTAGAATTCTTATCCCTCCGGGAGAACAACATTCAGATGTTGCCTTATGAAATGGGTTTGCTGACC